AATTATCCCCGATTCCCTAGCTCTTTAATCATTGCGTGAATATCTCTGCTATTTTAAGTGCTTTTCATTAGCTTAGTTTCTTAGTTGATAATCAAAACCAAACCAATTTGACTATAGAGTTTAGGAATTTTTCTTCTCTTTTTCGTGATTGAATATTCGTGCAATTGAATCCGGCTAACCTTCCTTGCGATACGACCCGGTGTTGAATCTTTCGATTCTACTCCGGTAAAAATACTTACAACAGAATACTCAGCACAATTAATAACAAACTATGAAATCAACATATATATGAAAAAACTAGTCTGGCTATGGGACTAACGCTAAACCGGTACTCATGTGCACACTCAGGGGGTCCCCTCCCACAGAAATCCAGGAAAGGCACTAATCACCCCATCTGGACGCAAGACTTAGGCTGGGCATCACCCACTCAACCAAGTCACAACTGACATCTGACATCTTGACCAAGACGGGATCACTCATCCGTCTCGGTCCTTCAATTTAATCACATATAGATCTCATACATGGTAAATTATTAAAAGCTATGAAATACACAGTACATGGTCCCCACCTGGAAAACGGCGAATGCGGATGCTGAAATATCTGAAATATGTTGTGTAGCAGGCGGAGGCTCGACTCTCCTCAAGCTACAAATTATGAGCGAAATATTCTAAGTACTAGTCTCAGAATAAAACTCAAATCTTTATTATCTTGTTGTCTAGGTTCGCTCACTCTGCTTTTAAAAATCATTTTAGGAATTTCCGAGCTGATTTTGAAAATATTATTGTCTTTGAGCCATTCTAGAATTCTCTGAAATATTTCTAAGTTTGGAACTAAAATATGACTTGATCTAATCTGACTGAAATCTAAACTATATCTGGATCTTAATCTATCTGAAATCTTAACTTTATCTGGAATCTTAACTATATCTGAAATCTTAACATTATCTGAAATCTTAACTTTATCTGGAATCTTAATCTGCCTGAATCTGAAATATATCTCAAACCGTCCGGACTGACCGGACCGGTTCAACTGAACTGGACCGACAGCTCACTCGGAGCTGGTCGGTCATTCGCTTGACTATGTGCAGCTCGGTTTGACCGTGGTCCGAGTTCGGCGCGGCAACTCGGCCGGCACAAACTCGACTGACACGGCTTAGCCGATGCATGAGTTTGAAACGGTGCCACAGTCACTAACGCAGGGGCGTACTTGGACCACGGCTAACGGAACGGCGCGTAGACGGCAAGTCGGATGGACTCGGTGCACGGGCACGCACTCGGGGGTTTGACTCGGATTCGGTGCACGGGCACGCACTCGGCGGTTCGACTCCAACGGTCGGACGAGAGTCGAGCACGTGTGCGGGACGACGATACCCATTACGAATTAACGATACGACGCTAAATATTATCCAGACGGTACTAGAGTTCAGGCGATTAAATACGGATCTGGGATTTACCCGGTTATTGGAACCGGATAAAATTAGGATTTTGATTCTCGAAAATTCAAACTCATTTAAGGTCGATAATTAATATATATATTTTATGCGATTTATATTAATTTTAAAAATCAACAACTGCAGCTAAAATCGCAATCAAACTATTATTATATTTTTATCGCATTAACGCCCAAGGTCTCGATTTCTAAAACTAAGTCAAACGGTATCCAAAATTTATAAAAATCGAATCGTATCATCCTCAATATACTAATTTGTCAATGGTCAACATATCGAGTCTAAAGTCAACCCCTAGACTAGTCAACTCCACATCGCTACGGCCGGTCAACGCATTTGACCGGCTCGTTTACCTATCAAACAACATCCGAAAAATTCCAAATTTATACCTAGGCCTCAAAATGACATAACAAATTTAATGGTATTTATTTCGGTATTTTATCACATATATTTTAAAGGGTCCCAAAAATAGCTTTAAGCTCGTATGTTCCTTTTTTCCAAAGTCGCTCAAATAACCCAATTTATACCTTTATATCATTTCAAATATTATGTCTAAGCCATCAAAATCGAGTTCTAGTTATTATACCTCCCAATGCTAAAAAACGAGCGGATAGAGAAATAGCTCGGCTAAGAAATGAAGGAGAAGAAGCAACTGGTTCGGATCTAAAATTTGGGACCGGATCTTGGAGCTGCTTGGTTGTGGAGTGCAGGGTCAGTTATTTGTTGAGGGTCGCGGGTCCAGTCGGGTTTGGAGCAAGGGGTGTGGGTTCCATCTCGGAGGCACGCGTGTGGACTGGGACTCGGCTTAGGTGGGCGGACTGAGCTCACCTGGGCGCGACGGTTCGAATTGATGGCTGAACAGGGCTGAACCAGCTGGAACCGGATCTGGTGGCGCATGGGCTTGAGCTGGTCGTGAACGGCGAGGGACAGAGATGGTTCGCCGGTGTGGAGGAGATGCAACGAGCTGGTGGTAGCGAGCTCGAACAGCGACGGGATTGCTGAAGCTAAGGTCGCCGGAAGTTGTTGGGGCTTGCGTCGGTCGCGGGCGGAGCTTTGGTCGGGAGTCGCGCGAAGGAGCTGCTCGTCTTTGGGTTCGGGCCGCGGATCTGTGAGAGAAGCTGGGAGCTGCGGTAATGGGCTGAGCAAGAGGAGGGTGAGCTCGGGCTGAAGTTGTGCAGCTGATGGGCTCAGCGCCGGGGGCGGTTTGGCCGGAAAGGAGAGAGCTCGCCGGAAAGCTTCAAGCCATGGTGGAAGAAGAAGAAGAAAGCTCCTTTTTCTTTTATGTATTTATGTATATCTTTGGATTAAAAGGCTAGATTTTGACTAGAGCTAAGACATGGTGTGATTTTTAACCCAAGATCTTGCAAAATGAAGGTAAAATGTGATAGTATTTGCTATGGATCTTGAAAAGAAATG